AATAAGGCAGCTTTTATTGATGATTCTTGTTTAAATCAGCATTAATAACTAAATTATCTAATTTTGCTTAGTGTTCGATATTTGTGAATTTTTTAAATTTCTTATTTATTAATACTTATGAAATATATTAACCAAAAGATTTATCAACTTTCTTGATATCTATATTAATATGAAAATTCCTTTATTTTTTATTAAAATATTAATTAAACAATACTAGATTATTAAAACAAAAGAGATCTTTAAGTTATGATTCTTTGCCAGCCAATTGTTGGTTTACTTTTAAGTTTTGGGTTTCTTAAGTTGAATTTTAAATATCACAGCCATTTAATTTTTATATTTTATTCCATAATTATACTTTTTATTAACTATTGAAATCTTTTAGATAGTTATTATAAGTTTATTATCTAAACATAAGAACAATAACCTCTACTAGATAATACTATGCTACAATATTCTATAATATTGTGCTTATTTTTCTACTATTCAAATAGCTTAAATATCCAAAGTTTTATTTTGTTACTCAAAATACAATACCATCAGAGATATGAATTTAGATTAAAACTTTATAATTGTTATTTATTGGGTATTATTTTTTACAATTTTTCAATTATTGTTATCATACCTAAACATTAATATTTGTTGTGAGTGTAATAAAATTAATTTTATTTTTCGTTAATGATGATCTAATTCTAAAAAAAAGAATTAATTAAATTTATTCAATCTTATTTGAATATTCTTTCAAGTTTAATCCTGAGTGTACAGTCAATTAGGATATTAATCTGTAAAAATCTAGCTAAATTTTATAAGAATTATTAAGATGCTATTTAGGAGAAATAGGTAAGAAGGGTAAACGATAATATAGCATTTTCAAGAGAATTAACAAAAGAAGTTAAAAATTTTTGCTTATAGAAATATTAAGCTATTAAGAATGTTCTAACAAAGAAGTAATATAATTAGAAATTAAAGAAGGCATCAATTAAGAATAATTTTTATAAATTAAGACTTACCCTCTGTAATATCTTAACTGATAATAAACTATTCATTTTAGTTTAATCTTATTCATTATAAAATTGAAATTAGAACAAATACAATAGAGGTCAATAATTCCAAATTATCAATCTTTTGGAATTATATGGTTTTGCTTTAAATATAAAAGAGAATTGAAATTTAACTTTTTTATTGATTATAAATTATTTAAGTAAGTTTTCAATATCTTATTGTTTATGATCTGAATAACAATAATATTATAATTAAGTAGCTTGAATTAAGGTTGCTAACACCTAAGAATTTGTCATTATTAATGTATAAAGATTCCTTAAATTTAAAATAAAATTATGCAAAACTGAATCTAAATAGTTAAAGTTTGAATATAATTTCTAATAAATAGAGTTATTTGAAAATAAGTAATATAGTATTTTAAACTTCAAATAAATCAATAAATATTTAAATAAAATATTATATTTACTATTAACTTCTATCAAATTAAAGAAGCAAATCACCATAAATTGCATTTTTGCTTATTGTATCTTTGATAGATTAAATTTCTTCTCACCAAAATCACCCAGAACTTAAGAACTTTGAAACCTTTTTCCAAATTATTTTAAAAGTTACCAAATATCTTATTAAGTTGTTGAATGAATTAATGATACTAACTTTTCTTCTTACAATACACTTTTCCTTCACCTTCTGTTATCTGATATTCTTGCTTTCTCTTCTATACATTCAATTTATCAAATTTTCATTATTCCCAATTATGTTGAAATTAATAATGAGGAGAATAATGTAAATATTTTTTCCTTTCATTAAATAAAGTGTATAGAATTTGTTAATTCATATTTTAAATTAGGACTTTTAAAATTTTTATTCTTGGAATTGCAAATTTCTATTCTTACTAATAGATGTTTTCCTAAGTATAAAATTAAAAGCTTTTATAACAATTTCTCTTCGAAAAAAATTATGTTTAACATAGAAAATTTATAAATATCGGTTTTAAAAAAATAAATAAATATAAAATGAAGAACGCAAAGATTAATTTCTTATCTTTTTAATTGAATTAAAAATTTAATTGTTTTTTCATATAGATTTGATACATTCATCTAATCTATTTTTTAAAACTAATTACTTCTTTGAGATAATATTTATTTATTAAATACTTTTCACTAATTCTTTTGGTATATATAAATCATATTGTAAAGTTTATTTATCTAATTCTTCAAGCTCTTGAAATGTTTAATTGATTCATATGAAATATTGAGTGATTCTTTTGGTTTCACTTCTATATTGCTCCTTAAATATGTTAAGTATTCTCATGAGTATTCTCTTACTCTTCTATTTATTTATTTTATCCATTTAATTGATCCAATCTCAGTTTATTAAGGTATTACGTATAATTTTATCTTACTATATTTATTTCTTCCTTCTCTTTTATATAATAGTATTTTAAAAGCTTCTATTACATTACCTTTTTATGACATATATCCATCTATATATTGAATAATGTAAGAATACTATATCTTTATCAGGTCTGTATCATTATTCTTCCTTTTATTAACCTTCTGATCATTTCTAATTTTATTAGATTTCTTATATTCATTTTTATGATTATACCTGATTAGGCACCGTTCTTTTAAAAAATCTTGCCATTTGTATTGTAATGTCCTATCTTTTAATAATGTTTGGTTCATTTTCAACTCTATACACCATATTAAAATCTTATTCCCTCCTTCTTTTATAAAGGCTATCATTATCTAAATTTCTCCTAAGTTCATATTTAGTTGAAATCATTCAATATAATAATTTTAACTTGTAACTACACTCTACAAATTGTATTCATGATATAATATTACTTCTAAATTTATCGAATGAATATTATGTTTAACTTTCTTGAATAAGAAACAAATTTACAACAATTTGATGTGTCCATTTCTTAAAGCCAATCGATTATAAAAAAATAGATTAATATTATACCTATTTATTTATATAGAAAATATAATTGAATGATTAACATCATACAATGACTTAATGTGAAAGGATATTCTATTTTACCCTAATAATCAACAAACTTCATCAATTCAATAAAGATGCAATTGTCCTCTTTCTCTCTTTCTTCTTAAATGTTTTTTCAAATACAATATTTATTTTTACCAAAACTCAAAAAAGGTATTGAAAATTAAAAATAAGAATTTATTTATATT